TAGAATGGGAGTTTGTGAAGACTAGTAATTTTTTAATAGTTAAATTAATGGGTCGATTAAAGCTAGGCCACCATTGAAAATCTGGGAGCACTGGACGGGCATTTCGTCCTGGTATAGGAATACTCAGCAGTGCTCATTTACGACCCCCCCACGCCAAATGGACTTGAATCCAGAGCTAACGCCTAGGCTCTAGACCACTGACTTGGTATCCAACTGAGACAATGTGTAACTTTAATCAATCTATGATCTTATTCAACTTTTTATCTATTGTCTGAGGTGGATACCTCATCTCTACCTGACACGGATTGGACTCCATTGGTCACGGTTTCTCGCCCGGGTATGGGACCCAATGCATATCGGATAGAAACAGTTATCCACCTCATATAATGGATGAATGGTTGAGCGAGATCATTAACGACGTTGGTTACCGGCTCAATGGTCTAGGAGTTAAGCGCTGAAATGAGAGAACCAAGGTTCTGGTCCGGGTCCCTTTTAGTGCGGGATCGTGGATGCGCACTGCTGTGGAGTCCCATACTAGGACGAAACGGCTATCCAGTGACTCCTGGCTTTCAACAATGGTCTAACTTAACTGGGCTAATGAATCCAACTATTAATTCAAATCTGTTTAGAAAATATTAACAATTCATTTAGTGAGTTTAAAAAATTGCATATACCAAAAAAAAGAATGAAACCCAAAGCATATAATCAATTCAGTATATAAGGTTCCTTTGTCTTCAATCACTAGATCAAATGTACGCAGTATACCGAATAGTTCAACTAATTTACATATCTTAAATATAAACAAGAAGAGTATTCATTAACAATACTAATAAATGAGAGATTATTATTTAAGGTCTGGTTGAAACGAGAAAGTTATTTAACATCATAACATATGGAAAGGTCACATATTCAACAAGTCTTATTATTAGTAAGCCAAATAATATCTCTTTATATTTGACAAAATCTTATATTCCTTAACAAACATATGGGATTTATACTAAATAAGCGAGTGTTGAGTGAATTTAGAAATATATTTGTCAATAGAAAGTACAAATATACATATTTCATAATCATTCATCATATTTAAATGATCCATATTTGTCAGTTGATTGTGTGTAATTAATCACATAGTTACTTTTTGAAATTCATCAATTTAAATTCCATTCTGTATTATACAATTTTTTGACATGTACTTTAATGTTGGTGACAAATAACAGTCTGTTAATAACTTTAATAATTACCATTTTTATGATAGAACAAAACTTAAAAAGTAACTAAGTCGTTAGTTAAATATTCAAAATGTAAACGTCATATAGAAATGTGATCATAGTTACTTACTTACTTACTTACGCCTGTTACTCCCAATGGAGCATAGGCCGCTGACCAGCATTCTCCAATCCACTCTGTCCTGGGACTTCTTTTCTAGTTCCATCCAATTCTTGTTCATTTTTCTCATGTCTATCTCCATTTCTCGGCGTAATGTGTTCTTTGGTCTTCCTCTTTTCCTTTGACCTTCAGGATTCCATGTGAGGGCTTGTCTTGTGACGCAGTTCGGTGCTTTCCTCAATGTGTGTCCTATCCACTTCCAGCGCTTCTTACTAATTTCTTCCTCCGCTGAGATCTGCTTTGTTCTCTCCCACAGTACGTTGTTGCTAATAGTGTCCGGCCAATGGATCTGAAGTATTTTGCGTAGACAATTGTTAATAAACACCTGTATTTTCTGGATGATGGCTTTCGTAGTTCTCCAGGTTTCTGCCCCATACAGTAGAACTGTCTTGACATTTGTATTGAGAATCCTGACCTTGGTGTTGGTTGACAGTTGTTTTGAGTTCCAGATGTTCTTCAGTTGTAAATACACTGCTCTTGCTTTTCCGATCCGCGCCTTCACATATGCATCAGATCCACCCTGTTCATCAATGATGCTGCCCAAATACGTAAAGGTTTTCACATCTTCCAAATCTTCTCCGTCAATTGTGATTGAATTGGTGCATTTTGTGTTGTATCGGAGAATCCTGCTTTTCCCTTTGTGTATATTGAGACCTACTGCTGCTGAGGCTGCTGCCACACTGTTCGTCTTCTCCTGCATCTGTTGTTGCGTTTAGGATAGAAGGGCCAGATCATCTGCGAAGTGATCATAGTTAGTCAGTATTATTATTAAGCTATATGTATTATTAGCTGTTATTCATTGTTTAGAGTATATTAAGTGAACTTGCACATGGATCTTAAGTTTATAATATAATGTGCCTCGATATTTAAGTACAATATTGTGTAAAGAAGACCGTACTTGTGTAATTTATCAAAATGAGGTCTGTGTATAATTCAATAAATAACAAGGTTAGAACAAAGTATTGACTATTTTTTATTGGGATTATGAATCAGTCAATGTTAGACCACCATTCCAAATATGGAGGCATTGGAGAGTCGTTTCGTTCTAGTATGGGACTCCTCAGCAATGCGCACCCACGATCCCACACGTCAGATTCGAACTCAGTCTCGTACGCGAACGCTTACCCTCTAGACCACTGAGCAGGCATCCAGGTTTTCCATGGTGGCCTAGCTTCAATTGACTCATGATTTCAATCTGTAAGGGTGAATTCCTAAACTACATTGTCAAATACCATTAATTACTACTTCTATACTGTATATTTATAACACTTCAAAGTCTGATGGTAAAATCGTATGTTATCTAATGTTTTACTCTCTTCACCTACTTTTTATACACTTCTATTTACAGTGAAGTCTTTTGTATTCAACTAAAGTTTGAAGATAATTACTTTAACTAGACAATTACTGTGAATCAAAAAGCATTAATACTATTTCATAGAACCATTCCATTAATGATGATCAATATAATCTATCTTCCTATTCGAATTCATAAACAATTGATGATATGAACTGTATCTGTAAATTGTCATAACGCATTCATATAATTATCATTAAAATTCCTGATTACAATGATCAATTAAACATGTATAAAACTAAGAATTATTTCTAACTATTAGATTATATATGAAATGATATAGTTGAATAAATTATAATATTGATGCCCGCGGCCAATATCATTTTCTTAAACAGTACATTTGTAAAATATATATATATATATATATATATATATATATATATATATTTGACAAACTATCACTTTAGATCAAACCGACCTAATTAGACACTTTTAGTCTAGACAGTAGTAGTTCATTTATATAGTGAAATTTCAAGAAAAAGAATACACAATGTTTATAAGTGCATCTCTAGTATTCGCCATAATTATCAACAAAATAATCTATATAAAATAGTGAAACAAACGAAAAAATGGCGATAATGATCACTTTCAATAATCTATTTGATGATTAAATGATCTGTGAATGATAGATCAAGTGGTACGAAATGAAAGAAAAAAACACAGACACAGAGAAAACAATCATTTTAAAGTTAACTGATAGACATTACTGAATAATATCATGATCGATTGTTGTGAATGTGCAGAAAACCGAAAAGATATTCAATGCACAAAAATATAATTAATGAGCTATAAAAGAAGAATATGGCACTTGAGATGAACAGTTCTAATGAAATAACTTTCTGACTAGTATATATATATATATATATATATATATATATATATATATATATATATAATTTGTTAGAAAAGTTTGTAGTTTAATAAATATGCATATATTTGTAATATTGATTACTGAATGACGATACAACAAGACAAAGTCAAGAAATGTGTAAAACTGACGCCTGATTTAATATAAGATTCAAGAAATTGAAGTGATATTATGACCAATTAACTTAAACAGGTACATTCAAAAAGAATATTTTTAGTGAAAAACTAAAAAATCTACAGTGACTATCAGGACTCAATAGCTAAATGGATAACGTAATGGTGTTTGAAGCGAACGGTACTGAGTTCCAATCTCAGAGTGAACATCAACTGTAAGATGCAGACACGTGCAGCTGACGAGTCCCAGATAAGACGAAACGCGCATTCTGTTATTATTATTTATTTATTTATTTGAACACATAAATATTGGTACAAGAGAGCGCCAATATATATGCGCCACACAAAACAATGGGAATTCGAAGAGAAGTAAAAAGAAAAAAAAGAAAAAAAAACTAAGGAACGCAAAAGACAAAGAGAGTAATGACGAAGAGGTACAATCAGAAGAAATCTTTCAGGTAAAGGAGACACAACCACTTTTTATGAAGAAAGTAAAAGAAGGTTACAGCAGGATCGCCACTGGCTTCTATTCTGAGCCATATCTGATAACGTCTCTAGCCACTGTGTAGCACCATCTCTCGGACCCCAACCAGGGAGTCGTGAAGGACCAACACAAGCCAGTCCTTTGCAGCTTTCTTTCATGCCACAACACCATGTCATGCACTGACCACCTCTCCGCTTCTTCCAACCAGTCCTAGAGTCGGCAAATAATGCACGACGTGGAATTCTCTGGGACGACATTCGGAGAACATGTCCAAGCCACCGAAGTCGGTGTTTCAAGATGGTGACACCAATTGAGTTATCATCTCTGTGCCCGAACACACGATGCCGAACCTCTGCATTACTGACATGGTGTTGCCACTGAATGTCAGCAATCCTTCGGATACAGCGATGATCGAACACAGAGAGTCGTCTAACGTCCTCAACTCGGAGAGGCCAGGTTTCACAAGCATAGAGCAAAACTGCTCTCACCGACGCGTTGTAGATCCGACCTTTTACAGCCAGACTAACATCACGAAGGCGCCAAAGGTGGCCCAGATTGGCATAAGCCGCTCTGGCTTTCACTATTCGTGCATTGATCTCATCACTCACACCCCCACCAGCACTTATGCAGCTACCCAGATACACGAACTTCTCAACTACGTCTATCTGCTCACCATCCAGGATGAGTACAGGATTAGAATCCTGCCAGTCTTGTAGAAGTACTTTGCACTTCGAAGGTGCAAAGCACATACCATACCTACGGACATTGATTGCCAACTGATTAAGTGCGGATTGCATGCCTTGGGCATTATCGCACAGTAAGACAATATCGTCCGCATACTCAAGGTCGAGAAGTCTTTCTCCAGGCAACAGATCCACACCACCATTACTTACATCCATCAGAGCTGTTTCCAGAATGTCATCGATGGCAAAGTTGAAGAGGAGTGGTGAGATTGGGCAACCCTGTCTAACCCCACTGCTCAAATGGAACAATGGAGAGAGGTGGTTGTATGCCCTCACTCTGCCTGAGGTGTTTTTATACAGGGCTTTAAGGATGTTAATAAACTTCTCAGGCACACCCTTCTTCAATAGACAATCCCAGAGAACAGTCCTATCCAACGAATCGAAGGCAGCCCTGATGTCAAGAAACACTACGATTGTTGGCCTTTGAAAAGTATGGCGGTGTTCTAACATTTGGCGGAGGGTGAAGATATGATCAATACATCCTCGACCAGAACGAAACCCAGCCTGCTCCTCGCGAGTCAATCTTTCTCGGGTTTTGAACAACCTACGAAGAATGACGGAAGCCAATAGCTTGGACGCAAAAGGAAGTAAACTTATCCCCCGATAGTTGTTACAAGAACGACGTGAACCCTTTTTAAAGATAGGGACAACTATCGACTCATTCCATGACGTTGGTACACTCTCTAGTTCCCAAACGTTTGTAAACAACGTCGTCAATTCCTTAGTCAAAAAGTCACCACCATCTTTAAAAAGAGCCGGAGGTAAGTCATCTGGGCCAGGTGATTTGTAACGCTTCAAGAGTTGGAGTTTCTTGCGGACTTCCTCCTCATTTGGTGGATCAGTCGTCACCGGCCATGGAGGGCAGGACAGTCTGACCGATGTTGCCGGAGCAGCAGGCCAGTTGAACTGCCCTTCGAAAAATTCTGCCCATCGTCCAAGACGTCGATGGATGTTAGTGATTGGCATTCCATCATCCTCGCAGATTGTTTCACTCACACCAGACTTCTTGCTGCCAGTGGCTCGGATGAGTTGGAAGAGCTTCCGGTAGTTACCAGATGCAGCTGCTGCTTCCAGCTCATTAGCACGCATCGACCACCAGGCTCCTCGGTCCTTACGCAAGCTTTGCCCGATTTCCTTACGTAACATCCTTCGTTTATGGTCAAACTCACGGTCACCCGGAGTAGACCGACGGGCTTCAATGAGTTGTAAGGAACCAGAAGAAACCCAGTGCTTAAAAGCGGGACGTTTCGCAAACCCACAACTGACTGTTCCCGCCATTTTCATGGCGTCATGCAATTGCAACCAATGCTCATCTATACTTTTCGGTGGAGTGGTAGCTAGCCTAGAGGCTAGCTCGGTTCGATACTTACTTGCAACAGAAGTTGCAACCAGCTTGCTAACATCAATCCGTTGATGGCGTTCACTTCGTTGTCCACTGAAAAGTAAGGCAAGATTGGCGCAGACCAAGGCATGATCAGAGTCCAGATAGGTACTCCAAAAGGAGCGGCAGTCTTGTACACAACCACGCCAGCGGTAGCTGATCGCGATGTGATCAATCTGAGTCCAGGCTTGAGATGCAGAAGGAGAACACCAAGTAGCACATCGGCGGCGACTGTTCCGGAACTTAGTGCTAACCGGCAACAGGTTGTAGTCTGCACAAAGTTGCAGTAGACGGTCCCCGTTATCTGACCTGCGACCAACGAGTCCCCATCGGCCACCTAAACGACTCTCTTCTGTGCCTAGACGCCCGACCTGAGCATTCAAGTCTCCGGCTAGTACTACAATATCTGTCGAACGCACTTTCTGGAGAAGAACTGATAACTGGTGGTAAAACTCATCCTTGATTGCATCCGGGCTGCAATTTGTCGTGGCATAGGCGGAGATGACGAAAAGACATCGTTTCTCACGCCGATTTCTTCTCACTTTGATGGAACTTTCTAATCTAACAGCACATAACCGACTGTTAATGAGGATCCAATCGACTAGTGCTGCCTCAGCTCTAGCGCTTAGTGCGACACCAACGCCAGCAAGACCAGACGAAGATGCCACAGGGTCTCCGGATAAGCGCACGTAAAACAAGCTTTTCGAAGCGACAGATGGAGATCGAATTTGTAGTACTTCGCCAGAGTCTTGAATACGGGTCTCGGATAGACAACACACGTCGATATTAAGACTTTCCAAAGACATAGCCAGCCCTATCTGTTGTCCGACCTGCATAAATGTGCGAACGTTGAAGGCAGCCAGTTTGAATGGTGCACGTGGTTTCAGAAAATCTGCTTCAGTCCTCGTATTCGGTGGTAACATACAATTTTCAACCGGACAGTGACTCGAGAACGTTTAGATACAGTCGGAATTCCACCAAAGACGAGCAGCTGTATAAGTATAAAAGAGGGTGAATAATGTGGAAAATAATAATAATAATGATAATAATAACAATAATGACAATAATAGTAGTAATAATAATATTAGTATTAATAATGACAATAATTGTAATGATAATAATCTGAATCAATTGTTTGTTTTTCAAAGCGACAAAAGTAATTTCCATAGACATAAAGAGTTCATCATTTGTGTGTGGGCTGTGATACTGCCCGGGTGCCCAAACCGAAGCAGGTGGTTATCTTAGGGGGCCACTCCCCGAGCCTTTGACCTAAAGGTCTAACCCACAAGGCAGTGGAGCATCGTAAGGAGATGCAGTCCCATGGTAGCCGGTGACCAACGATTGGTTCATACGCCATTTGTTCCCGCAGGATACTGGAGCCCATGTGCACCATTGATTTGGAATCCGGTTAAAGCGCCGGACATTCGCTTTTCGTCCTCTCATTTTCGTAAACAACACCCCCGCCACGAGAAGGCAATGAGTAGGACTTCCCTGGCAGAGGCTGTATACACGTGGCCGTGTGAGAGGATTTCGAGAGGGAGAGCGGACTCTCCCCACTCTCGGCCGTACCAGGGCATTCAGGGGGCGCATTCTGTATCCACTGCTAACCACTATCCATCTTTGCATATAATGCTTGTGAATTGATGCTGCATCGAGGCAATACGCACAGTATGCACATATGCGAATAACAGATTGACCAATTGCAGTGCTAAACATCAATGGGAAGATTCAAGTGAACAATACCAAGTGAATTTAAGGTCCGTGTTGTTTATTACAGAAGGTTTCCTGTCGACTACCTTCAACCACCATCTAAACATGTACATAATTTGATAGTTGAATATGGCAAATTTTGTCTCTATGAGAGATAATGTCAATAATAGTCGTAGGTGCATATTGATGTGGAAGCTTGAGATAGGTTGAAACAGTTGCTTACAGGTTTTAAATGATTCTCTAGCTAAGATAAATGCACAATGGTTGCTACTATATTAAATAAATTATATAACCGCATAAAACTGGTGCCTAAAACATGAAAACTTGAATTCAGATGACATAAGAAAAAGAAGAAAAGACTAATGGCAGATAATGATTTTATTCACTGTTCAAACAGCGTGATTGACCACATTCATCCATTAACATATAGTCATATTGAAATATAGCATGATTTTATGTTTTATTCCGTACTAACAATAAATCCTCACATGTCATTTAATAGGATAATCTTCTGACTTCATCAAAACGGATCTCATTCAACAAATTGCAGTGGTGTCATTTGTAATTTCTACATTAACTGTTTGGATAATTCATGATAAAAGATGATTATTTCAACAAAAAACTCTTCAGATCTGAAAAAAAATTGGGGAAAACTGTTTACTTGACAGACTGATAATAGTATATGTAAAAATAATGATCAGTATACCCGTCAAATACTTATTTAGCATCGAAATATTATTGGACATTGACTCATCAACCGTAGGTAGTTTTCAAGGGTGAATCATTATTAATAACTTTAAATTATGTTTTGTGTGAACCTAAAGACTCATCAGTCAATCTAACTCATAGAAATAAACGGAAAATTTAGCAGAACTATTATAAAATGCTAGAAAACACAGTTAAAAACGCAAAGATGAACTTAAAATGAAAATAATATCGATAAAGAGTATGAATTACCAGGCAAATCATAGTTTCCAATGAATTTTCTATCTGGTAAAGACAATGTTTGAGCATGAAAATTTAACACATAATAAACGAAACTTTGTAATAGATTTACTATTAAACCCATTATAAGTAGAAAGTTTTATTTGAGAAGTAAGACGAAAAACAGAATTCTTATTTGGTCAAATTTCATATACAACAACATATTGAATGAATCAGCGACATTCAGACATCCATAAAATTATCAATCACACAGTGTGTAATTATTTAACTAGTTCACCTCATCTGCAACCCAGCAAAGCTCGTTTCAACCAATAAATTCCACTCTTCTAATGATCTCCAAAACTGAAGGTGACAAGATAACCAGTACTTTCGCTGAAATTATGAAGCACCGTTGAAAACCTACAAACACTGTAGGGTCATTCCACCCCAGTATAGGACTTTTCAGCAATACATATCCATGATCTATAACGAGGGAATCGAACATAGAACCTTTGGTTTTAAACACCACCACTGGTTGGGACTCGACATTAACATTGTTGGACGTAGACTCAGTGGTTTAGAGGTTAAGTGGTCGCACTCAAGACCGAAGGTCCTAAATTTGATTCCCTCGTTACGGATCGTGGATGTACATTAAGAAGTCTCCAAAACCCCATCCAGAAAATGACAAATAGTTATTTAATTACTTCATTAATGACGCTTAAATGAAGTCCTATTGTGATAAGAAATCTATAATGCTAAGTGTTTCCCTCAACATCCATCTGTACAGTCATTTTGCCGACAGTATTAATGGACACATATTACTAAATACTTACATAGATAACAAGATGAGCGATAGAGACAAATATCCTGGATTTTTTAAATTTAAGATAATTCATTCAAGTCGATTATGCAATCAAGTTAGTTATAGTGTTAGCGATCCAAAATTGATTTATATTTAAATGAAATTTTCGTATTAACGATGGTAGTTCTGTACCCTTTAATTTGATGACAAATTTAGATATTTAAATAAGTTATCTATTCTAGTCATTAGATCAATTTAGTTTGATAAGCAACTAAACTGGTTTTCTTATATTCTGCGTAGTTGCGTAATAGTTGTCATAGCGTTGGGTTTTTTTTCATGCGACGAACTTCTTTCTGGACAATTTAAGTCAGCAACATAAGTGTAATTTTATGTTTTTATTAGATTGTTGCTTGTTAATGTAAGTAACAAGCAGAATTAAGTCAGTTACTAAATACTTCTTGTCTATACTCAAGTTATTTTAAGAACAATAATTATTTTGATGACATCATTAGCTTAAGTGAAGTAGTTTGACTAAAACCAATTCAGGAAAGCTTCTTTCGGTTAAATGTTTCGTTACCTAATTAATTATTTCGGTACAAGTAAAAAGTAT